GGCTGACCCTTTGTCTAGGCAATCCTCCTGTATTTGCCTGTGAAGTGCTGGGATTACAAGAGTGAGCTACCACACCTAGATCTTTATTTTAGGATTTAATTTCTCACATAAAGCTACCCAGTCAGTACTATTCAAAGAGATTCCCAGATTCTATTATAACCCCACCAATCAATCATCCAAAATTTCTAATTCATTAATTTTTCCTAGTTTTGAAGCTACTCCAAAATTTTCTACATATGTAAAACATTCTTACACACTAAAATTTGAATTTATAAATATTCTAAAATTATATTCTCAGGGATAAACCAATGCCATGTTTATTTTCTTATCCTCCCAAAATTAAAATACATAAACAACTGAGATATATACATGCCTACAAAGGGCTTACAATCTAGTAGGGAGTAAACAGATATGTACTTAAATAATTATATAGCAAAGACAAAGCATCAGGAATTTTCAGACAAAATGCATGCTTTAGAGAGAAGAAAATGAGGTGGAGACTTTTTGGATGAAGTAATATGTGACTAAGTCTTTCAAAATAGGCAGAACTAGGGCCGGCGATTTAGCTCAGTGGACTAAATGCCTGCTTAGGTAAGCACAGGGGCCAGGGTTCGATCCCTGGCAAGGTATACCTTGCCGCCCCCGCCCTCAGGCCTACTGAGCAGGAGGAGATAAGAACCCTGGCATGGTAGCGCACACCTGTAATCCCAGCACTAGGAAAGTAGAAATCAGGAGGACCACTATGAGTCCGAGCTGCTGAGCATAGAGACCCTGCACACACACACACACACACACACACACACACACTAAGCAGAACTCATTTGTGATAGAGTTTGAACAAATAAAATGGAATAGTGAAGGAAAAACAACACAAAATATACTATTTAATAGTCTAAAACATGACTAGCCTAAGTATTTATGCGATGATTATCAGTTTAAAGAGAACAATGTCTTTTTCGCTTAAAACAAATTGTATAGCATGAGTATCTTTAGAAAACTAGTACAACTGGAAATGGACTGAACATGTAGTTCCAGTAGAGCACTTGCTTTGTATACATGCCTAACACCCAGGTTTACAACCCAGTGCAGAAAGAAAAAAAGAAAACTAATATTGAGCTTTTCAATACAGCATTAAAGGGCCAGGGAGACAGCTCAGTAGAATAAGCACCTGCCTGACAAGCGCAGGGTCCTGAGTTCTATCCCTGGTACTGCAAAAAAAAAAAAAAAAAAAAAAAGTAACCCAAGTCTCTCATACTTAAAAAAAAAAAAATCCAGCAGTCAATTTAACCTACTTTGTTGGGGTGACAGAAGTTCCTAATGCTTGACATAATAAAATTTCTATTATTGTAAAGCTTAAATTACATAAAGTGGGGCAACCCATTCAGGACCCCTCCTGTCTCTCAGGAGGTATGCCTATTCTCCATTTTTTTCTTCCAATAAATTTTCTGACTCTTAAGAAAGTTACATGAAGTGTCACTAAATCCAGACACTCTCAAAGACATTTTTGTTGAAGAAAATAGTCATGCCCAGCCTGGTAGCACAAGTCTATAATGTCTGCACTCTGGAAAACTGAGTTTAAGTCTAGTCTGGACAATATAGCAACTTAGCAACCTTGTCTCAATTTTTTTTTTTTTCTTCTTAAAAAACCAGGGATTGAACTCAGGCTCTTGCACTTGCCAGGCAAGTGCTTATTCTACTGAGCCATCTCCCTAACCCCTCAAATTTGTTTTAAAAGGCTGGAGATGTTGTTCAGTGCACAATATCCCCAGTACTACCAAAAAAGAGACAGAGAGAGAGATTTTCATAAAAACAGATTAAATATTAGGCAAAAATTCTCAGTGATCACATTACTAATGTACATCAATGCTATTTCAAACCATATTTTTGTTACAGAAATTTAATATTTCAAATTCAATATGTAAGATGAATATCCATAGTGAGCTCTCATTCTCCATCCACTCCATTTTTTGTTTTAACTGTCACACTGAATCACGCCACAGATGTAACAGTATAATAGAATGGGCACTATACTGGATGTCAGAAACTTGGCTTCTGCTACTACCTAACTGCAACAACCTAAGACCTAACACACTGTTTACTCAGCCCCTCATTTTATTAAAAAGTAGCAAGACTAAACCTGTCTGACTACATTCTATGGTTCTATAAATTATTAACATTGTATTTCAATCAACTTAGTTTAGTTTGCAGATGGCTACTAAGTAAAAATAGCACCACACGTGGAAGAATTAGATTATCTGCAGAACTCCACAGGAACACAAAATTTCATAAGGAGTAAGGCTTTCAAATGCAAGGATGAAGGGAGCTGGGTATTCTGAAGACTTTCCAAGTAACATTTTGACCACACAAGCTCCTAGGGTGGCAAAAATGGCAAAAGAAAAAATGGCAAAAATGTTCAATAGAAATACTACCATAAAAATACCAAAATAAAAAACATGTTCTATGCAGTTATTGATACATTACAGAAACTTTTCATAAAGTGTGCCAATACCTGTAAGAAGTCTTGATAGAAAAATGTTTTCCTAACCATCAAAACTGCCTTTCATATCCTCAAGCTGAAAATGAGTGTCGGGCAATCTGAGGACTGAGTTACTTGTGCATATAATTGATCTCAATCACGCTTCATGCCTTTACAGCACTGGTACTGCACCCTCAATGTAACAGGCATCTGGTATTCAAAGTGAATGACTGAAAAAAAGTGAAGCTCTAATCTGTGTCTATACATAATAAATTCTAATTAATCTTTACTACTTGCTTTGTATTATATTCTAGCAAAATCCACACCTTTGCTTTGTACAGTGGCGAGAAACTCCACTGTACAAATAGTAAAAAAATTCACTATTTTTAAAAATGCTTTAGATATCTCAATCATCTATTTAGCTGTATAATTTCTAGCACTCGTTTCCCAGTTCTTTTTTTAATTACAAGGGCAGTCCAAACAAATTTTACTGTACTTTTAAAAATCTAACAACGTATTGTTAAAATTTAATATTCTTCCAGAGGCCATGGAGAGCACCACAGCTATATCGATAAGAAGTGTATTTTGATATGTTGTAATATAAATACATTTTTCTAACAATATTCCTATATGCATTTGTTCAACAAAAATTTGTAGTGGCAATATACTACACACACACACACACACACACACACACACACACACACAAACACACACACACATACACACCCCTTGGTGCCTTAAACACAAAGATAAAATCAGAGAAAAGTCTACCCTGCTTTCCAGAAGAGATAAACAGGTACATAAATACCTACAACACAAGGTAGAAAGTGTAACAACCAAGGAGAGATTCACAGAGCATTCCTGGATCAAAGACAGAGCTGTTATCACCTCACAAAATGACTCTTTCAATCTATTTAAAGCAATTTCCTATTAATTCCCTTTAGTCTGGTAACAGCCAACCCTAAGAGAGCTAATGTCTTCCTAATAGTATAGATGAAGAAACTGGAGCACTGAAAGGTTGCTCATGCTCCAAAATGTCAGTTATAGGAAGAACTGGAACTCAGTATATTACATTTTCTCTGGGGTTGTCCTTCCACATATGGCAAGCTTTTGTACAAGGGTATTCTGGTATCACAAGGTATCACTTCTAGTGTGTGACTGATATCATGTACCTTAATGTTTACTAACTGATGTGTTTAAAGCTAGGCAAAGCAAATGGGAACTTTAAATAAAATAAACTCACTAGAATTTAATATAATGAAAAAAGTAAGATTTCTCTCTCTAAGCAACTTATTTTTTCTGTAAGTTTTATCGGTGTCTACCTAACATTCGAAAATGAATCTTATCCTGAGCCCAAGCAAATACAAATTGTTTCATTTAATGTTTTTATGGAGTAAACACACTTCAAAAAACCTATTAAAAATTAAACAGTGCAAGGCCACCAGTTTCAGTTATTCACAATCACAAGTGACCCAGAACCATCAGCAGCTACATCAACAGCTACTACATCAAGATACTCTGAACAAATGAATGAATATGTATACGCATTCTAAAATCCTAAGCCTTGCTGGGTGTGGTGGTGCCAGTGAGATCCCAGAACTCAGGAGGCTGAAGCAGGAGGATCATCAAGAGTTAGAGACCAGCCTGGGCTACAAAGTGAGTTCAAGACCAGCCTGAACTGCATAGTGAAACCCTGTCTCAAAAAGAAAAAAAAAAAAGGGGGGGGGGAATCCCAGGCCTGTTGCTCTTTGCACATTGCCTCGTTCAGCTTTCCATCACTGCCTCACCCAGGTGAACACAAGGAATGTAAATTTCAATATAATTAAGATATAATTAGGCAAGCAAATCTGATGCAGGTTAATATACTAACCCCCAAAATTAAAATTACTCAAACCACTTTTTCCAAGGTTAACTCTGCTGAAGAGACACTGTGTCATGCAACCCTGACATTTCCTGAGCAAAATACTTTTCAAAAATATCAGTTACTCTCATCCATTCCTCTAATAGGCGACCACTGATCCAGTTCACTTAATGAATTTAGTCTCTTCTCTATTAAGGCTGATTTCTTAATTTTCTAAAATCCCTCCACGGCCCACAACAAGGCACATTCGCCCGCATAGCCCCTGAAAACACCAGTAATAAACGGCAGAAGATAGAGGGTTCGGATTTCGCCTTCACCACTACCCCACCCTTCGCCATTATTACATCCAGAAGTGGCCTGGTTAGAAAGGTAACTAGTTTGCTCTTCACACACTTGCTCGTCGCTGTCACCCTCCGTAACCCTTGCTACACTCCCAAGACGGCCACCAACTCCTCCACGTCAGAGCGACTCCGGCCCGCCACCCGCGCCGGCCCCTCCAGGGGACGCGGCCGGCCCCGCCGCCGGCCTGCGGGCTCCGCACGCCCCCTCCCCACAGGACGCCTCGGGCCGGCCCCCGCCCGCCCGGCCGCAGCCCATTCTTCCTCCAAACTCCCTAAGCCTCCTCCCGTTCAGCCCGAGCTCCACGCCCGCCCGACTCACCCTGGGGCAGCCGAGGGAAAAGGCCGGGAGGCTGGGCAGGTCCCGACCTGGCCGGGGCCCGCGACGCCCCTCGCCCGCGGACAGGCTGCGCCCGCGGCGGGTGCCCTGGCAGTCCTCGGAAGCCCGGGGCGAGCCGGGGCCGGAGGCCGGGTGTGCGGGTGCCCGGGCCTACTCACCCGGAGCTGGCGGAACGTGGGAGTCGGAGCGCCCCCGGGCCCAAGGAACAGGGACGCAGCCCGGCGCGTGGCCCTACCCTGGGACCGCGCTCGGCGCTGCGAGCCGGGCGCTCACTGTGGCCGCCGCCGCCGCCGCCGGGGCTGCTGCTTCGCCACCTTGGCCGCCATCTTGACTCAACCCCTCTCCCTCCCCCTTGCCCAGGCGGCCGCGGCAAAGGCGGCTCCGACGCGGGCTCCTCCTCCTTCCGGAGGGCTGGGAGACCGACTCCCTCCGCAGGTCGGACGCAGCTCCTACTTCGGCCGAGTTTCGTGGTCACCCGACGTCTGGTCACCTCCCGTGTCCCCTCAGCCTGTCGGCGGTGGTCCCCTCGCTCGTACGTGCGCCCGAGCTGCACCGCCCGCTGCGGGGCCGGGCGCGACTGCCATCGCGCACAGGCCTGTGCCGCCCGCCGCGAGTTGGCCGGCGTCCGAGCGCCCCCGGCCTTCCTGCGGACGTGGGAAATAGGGCGGCCGGCTGTGCCTCCGGCCTGCGACCCTTCTGTGGCGCGGCGAGACGGTAGCGGCCTCCGCCAGCCAGAGAGCTGGGTGGAAGGAACCGGGCACCACGTGGCAGCGGTATTCGTCCACCTACCCCAAACTTTGGCACCAGTTCCTCGCCGCACTGTCGGGAGAGGCAGATTTGTCGATGGTGTTACTCCTTAATCTGTAATAACTGCTAAAAGGAGCTGTATTCTCGCGGCTGAGACGTGCACTCCCGCACCCTCACCAGCCTCTCGTGTAGCGAAAGTAGTGAAACGATTGGACAGTTACCTGTAACCACATACTCCTCATCTATATCTCAAAACTGAAAAGGAAACAGTGGCGTAGTAGGCCTGTTTACAAAACTTTAATCTGGGTAACAGGCTAACCATATAATTAGGAAAGCTAGGGTGTTAGAAAATAAGTTGAGAGGACGTGGCTCTTTTCTGCAAAATGTAGGCGTTTATTTTTAGAAGCTTCCTTTTAAGCACATTTCGGTAAGGTCAGACAGTGGTCTCGAAGAGCACGGGCTTCGATTCTGCTGAAACCAAGCAGACGTAAGATTTGTAAATCCTGCTAAAATGGAGACAGCACGATATGTTGGGAAGCTTCCGTGTTAGACAACAAACCCCACTTTTAAAGTCTCAAGGCAAGACTCACTTGAACGCGGAACGCAGTTTCTAAGGGTGCAGTTTTCCTACCGGACCTAGAGCAGGAGCCTGTCTGCGCTACTACGCAGGCGCAATGTCACTTACCAGGCATGGGAGTGCTGGTCCTGTTGTGCGCGACAGTTGCTGTCCTGATATGGAGCTTTCTCTGGGTATGGAATTCCTCAGAACAAAAAAGAACTCGGGAGCAAACTGGTCTGCCGGGAGCTGGAAGCCGGACCCTCCTTGTGACTGCGCACCCAGACGATGAGGCTATGTTCTTTGCTCCCACCGTGCTGGGCTTGGCCCGCTTAAAGCACCGGGTGTCCTTGCTCTGCTTCTCTGCAGGTAGGAAGCCTTTCCTGGGCACTGGGAACTCGGCAGACTCTGCAGTGATTTGTGTGTTAACCGATCTCAGTCGACTTCTTCCCAAAGGGTTTTCTGTTGTAGGGAGCTAAGAGAATATATACCGATGGACCTTTCTCTGGATTTCTCATAAACTGGGTGAGATTGGTCAACTTCCCAGGTGGGTTAGGGAACACCTGCAACTTGGGTATTCCACTGTCGCTATGACCGAGAGGCCGAAAAGTAGTTGCTCGCCATTAGTTTCATATTATATTTGCATTTCCGTCGGGAACTGCGACTGTATATGTTATTCTGTCGAAACTTTTTTTGCAGAAAGAGCAAGAATGATGATCTTACAGCACGTACTGTACCAAACAGAACCGATGCATATCGCACCTGCGCTCTTCTCATAGTAACAAAGAACCTATTGCTGCTTCAAAATCTAGTTTGTTTCTCAACAAAATTAACAAAAATAAAACAAAATAAAATCTAGTTTGTGTTAGAAAGATGCATGAGCCAAATTGGAGAAGTTGACTCAAACGGTTAGAAAGTAATTGTATGCATAATTTTAGTTTATCTCTATCTTTCATTGAAGGAACCTTTCAAACGATAACCTTGAATTATGGCTACGAAAAGATTAAAAGAGAAAAAAATGACCACAGAACTTAATTATGGCGACAATTCACTGTATATGAAGCAGTTGAACTGTACACATATAATGGGTGAATTTTATAGTGTGTCAAGTTATACCTCAATAAAGCAATTTTTTTA